GGTTTACCAAAGATGGTGGCGGGTACTTTTACCGCCAGCACTGAGAGCTGTGCTCACCACCTTGGTCTGCGCTGCCACCCAGAAAGCATTCTGCCGGCTTGGAGATGTGGTCACTGCCATTGCCATCTCTCATACACACCAATAAATTGTTAGCAGAGTTATTTAAAAGCTGTGCGGTTTTTTGCCGCTTATGCTGAGTCAGGAATCTTCCCTTAAAGGAGCCGAACAATCTGCGTGTCTCTAGCAAGTCAGAGTCCAACTGAGAAAAATGCTGCTACCAAGAAACCTTGCTTATCTCTGTTCTTTTGTTTCTAAAACCCATTTTTAACCTTTTGTTAAATTTTAAGTGGAAGTTCTTACTAGCCACGTGGGCGCCATTTGTATCGCGTACTGTTTTTTCTGCCTGCCGCCGCTGGTCTTGTCCTGCTGCCGCACCAGCCCCAAATAATGCACAGAGACTCTGTATTTGATACAATGCTGTTGGCCCTGTTACTTGTTTCTTATCGGCTAGCTCTGCCTTAATTATTAACCCATTTCTGATGATCTATGTATTTCTCTTACCGGGGAGCCGGCAGCATACTGCTTTCTCCAGACTCTCCATCTTGACTCCTCCTTACTACTTCCTATTTCCTCCTTGTCTCCTAGTCCCTCCTATCTTCCTTTCCTATTGGCCAACAGTGCTTTATTATTAACCAGTATGAGAAACATATACAGAATGACATCTCCCATCAGTCATAGCCTTTTTGTGGCTTCCTGTACCAGTCTCAATGGCACACATACACAGTAATCTTAAATCTTAAGATTAGATTAAATAATTAACTAAAGTTAGTGCATTTAGCCAAGTGCAGTAGTTAGGTAGGATGTAAAGCTGTGTCGCTTAAAATCTCCAAAATGCAGAACTCCTGCATTATGTTTCCTACTATATATGATATATTGGTCTGAGTGGTTTACATGCAATCACTATCATTTACTAAACTCTCACAGGTACACCATAGGCCAGGTACTTTTCTTTTTTTCTTCAGAGAGGAAACAAAAGTACAATAATTTGCCCAAGGTGCATGTTGCAGGCTTTCAATTGCTGTGATAAAACACCATGAGCAAAAGTAACTTGAGGAGGAAAGGGTTTATTTCAGTTTATACTTCCACATCACACAGAGGCAGGAACTGGAAAAAAGGCCGTGGCAAGAGAGTTTTTGCGGACTTGCTCAGCATGTGTTCTTACAGCATTCAGGGATACCACCCCAGTGGTGGCACTGCCTAGAGAGCTGAGCTGTTCCACATCATCAGTCATCAATCAGGACAGGGCACCACAGGCCTGCCCACAGGCAAACATGGTAGGGAAAATTTCTGAATTGTGGTTCCCTCTTCTAAAAAGGACTCTAGCTTGTGTCAAGTCCACACAGAACTAGCCAACAGAACTGGCTGTGATTAGTAAGAGACCAGATCTTTGTTTTGCTGTGACAATTGATACTGGCCATTAGAAGCTAAGAAACAAGCAGTGATTAAGCAGAGACTGACATCATAAAGGGGAAATCTTCTGAAACTGTTTCCTCTGGGTCAGCACACAGAAGCTGTGTCCCAGAGGCATCCAGGGATGTATCATTTGCTGTTAGCTGATGTTGGGAGTTGTAAGAGTCACTCAGGTGGTACTGGTTTAAAGGTGTGAAGTGTTCATGGAGAGCAGCTGAGTCTTGGTACTGTGGATAGGGCTACAGTCCCTGAGGAGAGGCCATTGGTGAAGTTACAGACTTAGTTGCTGTAGATAGAGACCCAGGGTAGAAGGGCTCATGAACAGAAGTTGAGGCTTGGAACTATGAGGGAGCGCTGGAGTCTTTAAGGAGAGGCCAGGAGAGGCAAAGATACAGGCCAGATGCAGAGACCCCAGCATTTTGATGATGCCAGTACATGGGATCTCCATCGAGGACTTGCTGTAGAGTGGAGCCGGCTTGACCTATGAGACAGCTGTGCATGCTGCAGCACTTAATCAACTTAATCAACACAACCCCTCACAGAGAAGCCTGTCTCTGGTATTAGCAAGTGTGACAGAGTATCACAAGGCAAATGGTACAATGTAAAAACTTTCTACTAGGTTACATTCACACATGTGACACAATATAATTTTGCCCCCTGCAGAATATAACTAGAACTTTTGAGGGCAAATTTGTAGACACACTTAACTGGTTCATTCTACAATAGACAAATAAAGTCCAAATCAACATGTATCTTGGTCCTGTAATTTTCCTAGAAAGTTTGCCTTAATGTTGATTGCTGTGTTTTCTGCTGGAACCATGACATCACTAGTATAAAGTCTCAGTTCTAAACAAATTTCTCTTGACAAAATTCTAATGATACAAAACATGTCGTGTGCATTTTAAGTTTGAAGAGTTTTATAGGTTTCAAAAGTGCTTGTTGGGGTCACTGAAATGGCTCAGCAGAGTAAGGAAGGACACTTGCTGCCGAGCCCCATGGCCTGAAGTGACCTGCAGTCCCACGTAATGAAGAAGGCCAACCCCTGCACACTGTTCTTACCTCCATGTGTTCATGCTCATGAACACAAATGCACGCACACAAAGTACAAACATATGTTTCAACGTTTCTTTTGAGAAAAGAAGACTATTGAGGCTAGGGAGGCGACTCAATGGGTTAAAGTATGGTTATACAAATGTGACAACCTGAGTTGGATCCATAGCACTCATATTAAAAAAAAAAAATTCAATGCTCATTGTGTATTAAAGATAACGCATCTGAAATCCAAATCTACCCCAAAGCCTTTACTTTCCCAACTGTGTGGAAGAATATGTTGTACACACACATTTGTTTTTCTTTGTGTAACATACAGTCTGCACCACAGGTTCCCAAACTCACATTAAGGGCTCAGGAAATGGTTCCATGGCTGGAGTGCCTGCTGTGTGAGCATAATGTCCCAAGTGTGGATTCGCAGCACCCTTGCAAAAAGCTATGCTGGTACGCTCCCGAAATCCCAGAGCTCAGAGGTGGAGACAAGAAGACCCAGAGCAGCTGCTGGCCACAGTGAGCTCCAGACTCAGTGAGACCTTGCTTCCAGATATAAGACAGAGGGAGGGGTGACAGGAAGACACCCATACATACACCACACACGTGTGTGTATATATCACAAAAATATTTTATATTAAAAATTTTAAAAGAGTTTCTAGATAAGAAACTCAATGGGTCAAGAAAAGCTTTCATACTAACTATGCTTAGCTTTCTTGTGAGTCAAATAGCAGGCAAATTTACAATTATTGCAAAGGAAGGGAAGTGATAAAGCAACTTAGATCTAAGTGAGATTCCAGAACCAAATGTCCACAGTCCAAAATAAATAAGAGACTCACTGGCAGACATATCTGAGTCCTCCAGGGACTGGCTATTAATGAAAACTGCTGCAAAGTCAGTGACTGAACAAAATTTTGTCTTTTGTTTTTTAATCATAAAATAATTATTTTAATGGTGTATTTGAAATAATTTTAAACATCTGGTCAATAAGATTACACAAATGTAGGAGCACATTACATTGTACTTTACAAAAAATAAAGCAAAGCATTTAAATATACAAAACAACTTTGGGTATAGTTTTCTTGTTAAGTTACTTTTTTCACATATACATAATTTACGGCATTTTACATAACTTGCTAAAACAAAAACTATGGCTAATTAAACTCTTACAACAGTATAGAACATGGCCATAACAGGCCTGTGGGAATACTAGGATGGAGAGTGATATACTAGAGGAGTTTCCCCTGAATCCTTCCTCTAGCGTTTTTCTTTAATTATCTTCTGGGAGGGTGTGGCATTCTTTCACTATATGATTTCAATTCCACTATTATTTTTTAAAGGGGAGAGCGCAAACCCAGTCCATTATTATTTTTTTTATCAATTATAATCTACACAGATAGATTTCTAAAAATTGGAGGAGGGGGTGCTTTGAATATCAGCTTCCTCCTCAAGAGAGTGGTACATAACATGCTGCTCACATGTAGAGCCACATCCCAAGGGCGAGACACTGAAAGCACCTGTAAGTAGACAATCCAAAGGGCGTCCTAGAATGTTCTTGCCAGCAGTTGTAAGTTTTAAAAAGTACTAGATGCTTAAAACATAGGGTAAATGGGAGATTCTTTACAAAATAAAAAAAGAACTCCATCTTAAAACATAGGGTAAACGGGAGATTCTTTACAAAAGAAAGAACTCCATCTTGGAAATTAAAATAATACAAAAACAAATCTTTTGCAGTACTATAACTAAATGTTTGCTAGATTTTCTTCTTTGGTTGACCAATAGTTTTTTTCCCATCACCAGAACAAGGGCCAGCTTTGGCATTTCACGTGCAGCCACCCTCCTTGGGAACACAGGACACACGTCTGTCTCATAATGCCATTTTCATTTTTCCCATTGTCAATCTGAATGCAAAGCCTCCTCATATTCCTTCCAGTACTTTCTAGTTTTTCATTTTTCAGTGAGGTATATGAGTAGCAATTTCAGTTTTAAAACTTAGCTAACAAGGATTTCCCCTTACTAGGGATCAGAAACAGTGCAGTGTGGGGAGCCAGAGAGTCAGCAACCTCAGGCACAAATGGTCCCATCCGCTCTATTTGTAATTCTAGCTCAACTGACACAAGTTGAAACAGGCTTGTCAAACTTCAATTCCAGAAGGTAACTGTCACAGTTAACTAATTAACTTCTAATAGCAGGCATAAAAACTAACACTAGGAGACAGGTTCAGCACAGGATACATTTGGACTCTTCCTTTATCCTATATCTAGATGCAGCCTGTATCAGAGGGGAGCACCTTATTGCTATGGTGTGGAAAAAACAAAACAAAATAAACAAAAAATGGAGGTGGTAAGAGGGAGATCCTAGCTGCTATAATTAAATACAGGTAGGAAGGAGATACTTCTATATAGTATACTTCATACCGACTTTCAGGAAGCATCTAAATACTCATCTGCAAGAACCCAGAGAATATACAGACAAGACGCAGAAAAAAGAGCTTGTCAGTGTAAACAGAGGTCTTCCATACTGGTGACTATTTTCCAGAGTAGATTCCAGGACAGGGCAAGAGTGCTCTCTCTATCTTCTTTGGCAGTAAACAGGGAGCGTCTTGATGGACAGATGCATGGATGCAGTGATCACTTCAGAAGGGCAAGGTACAGAGCTCGAGAATACTTCATTTCTCTTTCCTGTTCCATACAGAATATCAAGTCCCTGAGGCAGATTCTTGTGATTCTTGGACGAAGCAATGTTTTGGTGGCTGTTAGGCTGGACGTCCCAGAAGCAGAAGGGTTATCTTTGAGGCCCTAAATGAGGAGGGGGGAGGGGAGAGGAAGAGAATTAGTTTAAAATAAGGACAAGGACTCTCATAAAGGAAAACCTGTTTCTTGTGGCACACAGGAGCCTACTGTCCATTGGGAAGGTGTTATGGAAGGCTAAACCCAGCAAGGTCATGACATCATTCACTTCTCTCTCCTGGGCTGGCAGTTGCCTCTAAAATGATTTCTTCTCTTCCAGGTGCTCCTCTGCTCCACTCTCCTGCCCCTTCCAGGTTAGACTTCCCACTTGAAAGATTTTACAAACAACTTCAAAATGATGGGAGAATTTATTTTGATCATGGTATTGATGAAGGGTTACATAAACATAAAAATCCATTGTCTCAAAGGACAGCAGTCTTTTGTGCATCAATAGTAAAAATAAACATAACAAAAGTCTATTATAGTTCAGATCTCATGCCACAGTGCCAAAAATTCTTAATGGCTCCCCAGTGACCAGAGCTTCACTTAAAAATTTGTCTTCTTTCTTTCATACTACATTGCAGCAAGGTCTGTGAGGGCTGTTACCCTCTGCTCAAACCAAACAGGAAAATAATCCTGGCCTGGTGAAGTCATGTGTCCTAAGCCTCACAGCAAGGTAGAATAGGACTCCATTTTTACTTTGATCTTAAGTTAGCCACTGTGCTATGATATATTATTTATTGATGGTGAATGGTAAACACTAACCATTAAGGTTTCCTCCAATCATATACATCTCATCCTCTTTTAGAGGACTTTAGCTACATGTTCCTCTGCAATGGGATATTCCCATACTATCACAAACACAGCAGAAGCTTTCTAAGCACAATGACTATTATTTATAGCTTCCCAACTTTACAAATTTTGAGGAAACAGTATGATTATCCATAGCATTTTCTTTTTGAAAAAGGGTCTCACTATTTAGCTCTAGTTGGCCTTGAACTTTACTTGCCTCTGCTCCCAAGTGTTGAAGTGTTGGCATTAAAGGCAATGCACTACCACACTTAGCCTAATAATATTTTCTTAACTGAATTTCCTGATTTACTGATTATAAACAGAACAACCAACACAGGAATCAAATTCACCCAAGAATTAAGTGAAACCCAGTACTCCTGCATTAAGACAGTTTCCTAAACACTGACATCTATGTGCTATTATGTTAAAATTTTAATTTACTATTATTTTATGGAGTGGAAGGGAGGCACATGCATGCTATTGTATATTGTGTAGGCCCGAGAACAACTCTGTGGAATTGGTTTTCTCCTATATTTAAAATGACGTGGGTTCCAGGAATCAAACTTGGGTTATCAGGCTTTTGTGTGCTTACTCTATCCACTGAGCCATCTTAATGTTACTTAAAAAAAAAAAAAAAAAAATGAAGAGGATAACCAACAGTCTTTCCTAGCTACGGCATCTATGAACCACACGAACAACAAGTATGGCATGATAACCCTTTGGGTGCAATAGTGCCATGTATACTTGGCAGTAACCAACAACTCTCTAATTGGACCCACTCAACAAAAGGGAAACCATGCCTGGTACTGGAAATCGAGCTAATTATTGAGTACTAGTAAAATGGTGGTTACTGGAGGAGAATCTACCACTATTTTTACTAAACTAACACAACCCCTAACCACAATCCATAAGCATGTCCTTATATGAACAGATAAGAGTAGTCTTCATCCCTCATCTCTCTCTGCAACAGTCAGAGATCACTACAGAAACCACAACTAATAAAAATGCAGAGTTGTAGAACCCTGTCCTAACAGCTACATCCACAATACAACTGCAACTCCATCCAAGGCTTAAAGATTGTTACATATAAGAGAAATTAAGTATGCTGTGTGAGATTGAGTCTTCTATTAATTAAAGTCTGAGGATGACACCAATGAACATGCCAAACTGGTTAGAGAAAATCCCACGAGGCCTCAACCCAACACAAAGAACCATAGGCAACTAAGGAAAGTGCATGTCGTCAATTAGTTGTTCACTGCCAAATGGTCAGTCCTGAAAACATATATACAAGTAATAGATGGATTCAATAGGCTATATTCAGGAAGGTATATAATGCATATACATAACAAACACATCTGTGAGTAACAACAATTAGTGAAAAAAGAGGCCATTAATTTAAAAAGAGCAGGGAAGGGTATACCTGAGAGCTTAGAGGGAGGAAGGATAAGGAAGAAATGTAATTAAATTATAATCTAAAAAAGTAAAAGGAAGCCAGGCAGTAACAATGCATGCCTTTAATCCCAGTACTCAAGGCAGAAGCAGGTAGATCTCTGAGTTTGAGGCCAGCCTGGTCTATAGGCAAGTTCCATGATAGCCAGAGCTACACAGAGAAACCCTATCTCAAAAAACCAAAGTAAGTAAATTAATAAGTAAAATGAATGCAATTAAAGGAATTAATTAAAGGAAGTATTATTATTTTTGTTGTTGTTGTTTATACGTGTGTATGGTACATATGAGGACTGATGGGCACATACCACATTAAATGTGTAGATGTCAGATTAAGTTCTTTCTTTCTATCATGGATTTCAGGGATCAACCTACAGTTATTGTACTTTCACAGTAAGCACTTCTACCCACTGAATCACCTTGCTTGTCCCAAACAAAGAATTGCTTAGAAGGATAAATGTATAAAACTAAAACTCTTGGTCAGTGGCCAAGTGAGAGGCCTAGAAGCTGGGAGAGGAAGAGAACATCAGCAGCTGAGTGAGAAGTGCAGAAGCATCAATAGCAGTGGCTTCCAGTAACTATCTTAAGAAGTGCCTCTGGGCATGCTGAGAGACAGCATCGATGCTGCTGTAGGCCACCACCACAGCATGGGCCAAAACTATCTAACCATCTGAACCTCAGTCTCAAACCTGCCTATACCTACAGGAGAGATCACCACAGTCTTGGCCCCGCCTATCCCTAGAGGAAAGACCATCTGAGTCTTGGGCCCATCTACACCTGAAGGAGTGATCACTGGCGGCTCAACCCTGCCAGAGCAACAGCCCCCAACTACACCAACTGGAGAAGAGACCCCATGAAGGACAGGCGTCAATTGAACAGATTGGAGGGAGAGATGGGCAGACACCAATGTAAGAATATACTCAACAACACAAAGAGCAATGCAGCACCACAAGACACTGAGTTCTACAGCACCAAGACCTGAACTTTCCAATGCGGATGAAGCAGAAAACAACAACATTAAGATGATTGAGGTACTTAAAGAAATGAAAAATTCCCTTGAAGAAATAGAGGAAAAGACAAACAAAAAAATTACAAGAGACCAACAAATCTCTTAAAGAAAACCAAGAAAAGAAAAAGCAATCAAACACGTGAAGTAAACCGTACAAGACTTGAAAACTAAAATAGAGGCAATAAAGAAAACACAAACTGACACAACTCTAGAAATGGAAAACTTGGTTAAACAATCAAGAACTACAGATGCAAGCATAAGCAACAGCATACAAGAGATGGAAGGGAGAATCTTAGGAGCTGAAGATATGCTAGAGGAAAAAAATTAATTGGTCATGCTGAATCAAAAAAATTCTTAACACAAAGTATCCAGGAAATTTGAGATACCATGAAAAAACAGACCCTAAGAATAATAGACATAGAAGAGAAGTAGTCCGTCCAGCTTAAAGGCACAGAAAATATATGCAACAAAATCATAGAAGAAAACTTTCCCAACCTAACGAAAGACGTGCCTGTAAAAGTATAAGAAGTTTACAGAAAACCAAAATACAATGAACCGGGAAAAACAAATCAAAACCCACTCGTCACATAATAATCAAAACACTAAACATACAGAATAAAACAGAATATTAAGAGCTGCAAAGGAAAAAGGCCAAGTAATATATAAAGTCAGACCTATCAGAATAACACCCGACTTTTCAATGGAAACAAAGAAAGCTACAAGGTCCTGATCAGGTATTACGCAAGAACTAAGAGACCACAAATGCCAGCCCAGACTACTTTACCCAGGAAAGCTTTCAAATCACTATAGATGGAGAAAACAAGATATTCTATAACAAAAGCAGATTTAAACAATTCCAATTTACAAATCCAGCCCTACAAACATACAAAAACAAAACAAAAATGGAGAAGGAAAACTCCAACCCAAGGAAGTTAGCTATATCCACAAAAACAAGGGCAATGAATAATCCCACACCAGCAAATCCCTAAGAAGGGAAACTCATACACAATGCCACCATCCCCACCAAAAAACAACAGAAACCATCAATCACTGGTCATTATTATCCCTTAATATCGTTGGACTCAATCTGACTATATAATAAGATACAGGCTAACAGATTAGACACAAAAACAGAATCTGTTCTTCTGCTGCATGCAAGAAACATACCTCAACTACAAAGATAGACATTACCTCAGAGTAAAGGGTTGGGAAAAGATTAAGAAACAAAGTGATGTAACTATCCTAGTATCTAACAAAATAGACTTCAAACTAAAATTAGTCAAAAGAGATGGAGGTCATAACATATTTGTCACAGGAAAAATCCATCAAGAAGAAGTCTCAATTCTGAACATCTATACTGCAAATACAAAGGCACTCACGAGTAAAAAAAAAAAAAAATTACTAAAGTTTAAATCACATATCAAGCCCCACACACCAATAGTGGGAGACTTCAAGGCTCTACTAGACACATCTTCCCAACAAACTTAACAGAGAAATAAAGGCAGATAAACATTCCATCCAAACACAAAATAATATACCTTTTTCATGAAAACCTCAACAGATATATATTCATAATGCCCTGTATCTTACAAGATCACCACGGCTTAAAGTTAGAATTCAACAAAAACACTAATTGCAGAAAGTTCATAAACTCATGGAAATTGAACAATGCTCAACTGAATCAATACTGTGTCAAGGAAGAAAGAAATTAAAGACTTCCTCAAATTTAATGAAAACGACAGCACAACATATTGAAATGTATAGGAGACAATGGAAGCAGTAATAAGAGCAAAGTTTATAGCACTAAATGCCTACATGAAGA